CATATTTATGGTTTAAGATCGCTGGTCCGTCCCTAGCTGTGCTGAACCAAACACCATACTTTTGGTTTGACATCGCAGGTACGCCCCTAGCTGTGATGAACCAAACACCAGATATATGGTATAACATCCCTGGTCCGTCAGTCCTTGGCTGTGATGAGCGAAACTCCAGATATATGGTTTAACATCGCTGGTCCGTCCGTTCCTAGCTGCTCGGAAGAAAACACCATATTTATGGTTTAACATCGCTGGTACGCCCCTAGCTGTGATGAATCAAACACGATATATATGGTTTAACATCGCTGGTTGGAGACTAGCTGTGAAGAACTAAACACCATATTTATGGTTTAACATTGCTGGTCCGTCCCTAGCTGTGATGAACCAAACACGATATATATGGTTTAACATCGCTGGTCCGAGACTAGCTGTGATGAACCAAACACCCTAATATGGTTTAACATCGCTGGTCCGTCCCTAGCTGTGATGAACCAAACACCATATTTATGGTTTAACATCACTGGTTCATCCGTCCCTAGCTGTGATGAACCAAACTCCAAATATATGGTTTAACATCGCTGGTCCGTCCGTTCCTAGCTGTGCTGAACCAAACACAATACTTATGGTTTAACATCACAGGTTCATCCGTCCCTAACTGTGATGAACCAAACACCAAATATATGGTTCAACATCGCTGCTCCGTTCGTTGCTACCTGTGCTGAACCAAACACCATATTTTTGGTTTAACATCGCTGGTCCGTCCCTAGCTGTGCTGAACCAAACACCATATTTTTGGTTTAACATCGCTGGTTGGAGACTAGCTGTGCTGAACCAAACACCATATTTATGGTTTAACATCGCTGGTCCGTCCCTAGCTGTGATGAACCATACACGATATATATGGTTTAACATCGCTGGTCCGAGACTAGCTGTGATGAACCAAACACCATATATGTGGTATAACATCACTGGTCCGTCAGTCCCTAACTGTGATGAACCAAACACCATATATGGTTTAACAGCACTGGTCCGTCCTTAGCTGTGATGAAGCAAACACAATATATATGGTATAACATCACTGGTCCGTCAGTCCCTAGCTGTGATGAACCAAACACCATATATATGGTTTAACAGCACTGGTCCGTCCTTAACTGTGCTGAACCAAACACAATATATATGGTTTCACATCGCTGGTCCGTCAGTCTCTAGCTGTGATGAACCAAACACCATATTTTTTGTTTAACATCGCTGGTCCGTCCGTAACTGTGCTGAACCAAACACCATATTTTTGGTTTAACATCGCTGGTCAGTCCGTTTCTAGCTGTGATGAACCAAGCATCATATATATGGTTTAACATCGCTGGTCCGAGACTAGCTGTGATGAATCAAACACCATACTTTTGGCTTAACATCGCTGTTCCGTCCCTAGTTGTGATGAATCAAACACGATATATATGGTTTAACATCGCTGTTTCGAGACTAGCTGTGATGAACCAAAGACCTAAATATGGTTTGACATCGCTGGTCCGTCCCTAGCTGTGATGAACCAAACACCATTTTTATGGTTTAACATCACTGGTTCATCCGTCCCTAACTGTGATGAACCAAACTCCAAATATATGGTTTAACATCGCTGGTCCATCCGTTGCTAGCTGTGATGAACCAAACACCATTTTTTTGGTTTAACATCGCTGGTCCGTCCCTAGCTGTGATGAACCAAACACCATTTTTATGGTTTAACATCACTGGTTCATCCGTCCCTAACTGTGATGAACCAAACTCCAAATATATGGTTTAACATCGCTGGTCCGTCCGTTGCTAGCTGTGCTGAACCAGACATCATATTTTTGGTTTAACATCGCCGGTCCGAGACTAGCTGTGATGAACCATACACCATATTTTTGGTTTAACATCGCTGGTCCGTCCCTAGCTGTGATGAACCAAACATGATATATATGGTTTAACATCGCTGGTCCGAGAGTAGCTGTGGTGAACCAAACACCATATATATGGTTTAACATCATAGGCCCGTCCGTCCCTAGCTGTGCTGAACCAAACACCATATTTTTGGTTTAACATCGCAGGTGAGTCCCTAGGTGTGATGAACCAAACACCAGATATATGGTATAACATCACTGGTCCGTCAGTCCCTGGCTGTGATAAACCAAACACCATATATATGGTTTAACATCATAGGCCCGTCCGTCCCCAGCTGTGCTGAACCAAACACCATATATATGGTTTAACATCATAGGCCCGTCCGTCCCTAGCTGTGCTGAACCAAACACCATATTTTTGGTTTAACATCACTGGTCCGTCCCTAGCTGTGATGAGCCAAACACCACATTTATTGTTTAACATCACTGGTTCATCCGTTCCTAGCTGTGATGAACCAAACAACATGTATATGGTTTAACATCGCTGGTCCGTCCGTTCCCAGCTGTGCTGAACCAAACACCATATTTATGGTTTAACATCACGCGTTCATCCGTCCCTAACTGTGATGAACCAAACACCAAATATATGGTTTAACATCGCTGGTCCGAGACTAGCTGTGATGAACCAAACACCATATTTTTGGTTTAACATCGCTCGTCCGTCCCTCGCTGTGATGAACCAAGCACCATATATATGGTTTAACATCGCTGGTCCGAGACTAGCTATGATGAACAAAACACCTTATTTTTGGTTTAACATCGCTGGTCCGTCCCTAGCTGTGCTGAACCAAGCACGATATATATGGTTTAACATCACTGGTCCGAGACTAGCTGTGATGAACGGAACACCATAATATGGTTTAACATCGCTGGTCCGTCCCTAGGTGTGCTGAGCCAAACACCACATTTATGGTTTAACATCACTGGTTCATCCGTCCCTAGCTGTGATGAACCAAACACCAGGTATATGGTTTAACATCGCTGGTCCGTCCGTTCCTAGCTGTGCGGAACCAAACACCATATTTATGGTTTATCATCACGAGTTCATTCGTTCCTAACTGTGATGAACCAAACACCAAATATACGGTTTAACATCGCTGGTAAGTCCCTAGCTGTAATGAACCAAACAGCATATTTTTGGTTTAACATCGCTGGTCCGAGACTAGATATGATAAACAAAACACCTTATTTTTGGTTTAACATCGCCTGTCCGTCCCTAGCTGTGATGAACCAAGCACGATATATATGGTTAAACATCACTGGTCCGAGACTAGCTGTGATGAACCAAACACCATAATATGGTTTAACATCGCTGGTCCGTCCCTAGCTGTGATGAACCAAACACCATATATATGGTTTAACATCATAGGCCCGTCCGTCTCTAGCTGTACTGAACCAAACACCATATTTTTGGTTTAACATCGCAGGTACGTCCTTAGCTCTGATGAAGCAAACACCATATATATGGTTTCACATCGCTGGTCCGTCAGTCCCTAGCTGTGATGAACCAAACACCATATTTTTTGTTTAACGTCGCTGGTCCGTCCGTTTCTAGCTGTGATGAACCAAACACTCTAATATGGTTTAACATCGCTGGTCCGTCCCTAGCTGTGATGAACCAAACACCATATTTATGGTTTAACATCACTGGTTCATCCGTCCCTAGCTGTGATGAACAAAACTCCAAATATATGGTTTAACATCGCTGGTCCGTCCGTTCCTAGCTGTGATGAACCAAACAGCAAATATATGGTTTAACATCGCTGGTCCGTCCGGTGGTAGCTGTGCTGAACCAAACACCATATTTTTGGCTTAACATCGCTGGTCCGTCCCTAGCTGTGATGAACCAAACACCATATATATGGGTTAACATCATAGACCCGTTCGTCCCTAGGTGTGCTGAACCAAACACCATATTTTTGGTTTAACATCGCAGGTACGTCCCTAGGTGTGCTGAACCAAACACCAAATATATGGTATAACATCACTGGTCCGTCAGTCCCTAGCTGTGATGAACCAAACACCATATATATGGTTTAACATCACTGGTCCGTCCCTAGCGGTGCTGAACCAAGCACCATAGATATGGTTTAACATCGCTGGTCCGTCCCGAGCTGTGCTGAACCAAACACCATATATATGGTTTAACATCACTGATCTATCCCCAGCTGCGCTAAACCAAACACCATATATATGGTTTAACATCTCTGGTCGGTCCCTATCTTTGCGGAACCAAACACCATAAATATGGGTTAGCATCGCTGGTCCGTCCGTAGCTGTGATGAACCAAACACCATATTTATTGTTTAACATCACTGGTCCGTCACTAGCTATGCTGAGCCAAACATCTTATGTTTGCCACCTTTACCAAGGTATAAGAATCCTCTCCAACAGTAAGTCTGTCTTTGATCTTGAAACTAGCAGTCCCGCTATTGTACTTAGTTATTCATTTAGTAGATAAACAAGATTGTGCTATTAATTCAAGGGTGTGATCTTTATCAGACGTCAGTCTTTTATGTTTCCTTATTGTGGCCTCACGTATTCACGGTATTTGTCCCACAGTGAGTGAGTGAGTTAAAATTTAAAAGTCACTTTGGCTATATTTCAGACATATCGCGACAATATCAAGTTATAGATTAATAAAACCTAAAGGAAAATGATAAAACTTGTCAACGAAGGACAGTAAAACAACTAGATTATCACAGAGAGAAATTTAAAGTAGTACTTAAATTTAAAACATTTCAACTACACATGACAAGACAATATACAAACAGGCATTGCCAATTTCCCCATTGAAGAAAACTATATGATTGCATTTGAGTAGATTGGAATGTCTGCAAACATCAGTACGTCGAACCCAGCTGACCCAATATCTTCTTCAAAGCATGGCATCAAGTGCTCATGGGCTTAGGGTTCTTGTCAAACAGGCGACAAATTACGCGCTGAAATTTCCCAAACGTTCAAGCATCTTGGTATAGTTTGGTTAAATTAACGCAAACACTATTGCGATTGGTATGTAGAATCGATCTGATCCAAACAGTTCAAACTTCATCATGTGCAATGTTCCAGTGTCGTGTGATGGGTACAGACTGGCTAACGCTCGTCCAGATGTAGACATCATCAACACAGCCGTTGAAGACGTTTGTCAGCATCCCTTTAACGTCGTTGCTGCTAACAGAACATCATCCTGTCTGCGAGATGGATCTTGGGAAAGTGTCAGGATCAAATGCACCTCATGTTACACTGGCACGCCCGGGCCGTCTTTGGTAAGTCTGAACCTGTTTTAGTTCCTCCTCGGTCCATGCTACATGGGTTCGCCCGTGATTTCTGAACGTGCTTTTAGTTCCTCTTACACCTCATACTACATTGGAGCGCCTCCTCTGCATTCTATGGAATGACTGAAAATAGCTGTAGTTCCTCATACACCTCATATTACATTAGCACGAAAGTGCTTTCTATAGTTTGTTTCTTCTTGCTGTTGTTGATCACGCGTATGTCATGGGAAAATTCACAAAGTTATGATGAAGTATTCCTTACACAGAAAGAACAATCTTAACATGGACCATTATTTCTAACATGCATTTATGCATGGAAATGAAATGGAAGAGCACGTTGCAATGACATACTTTCCATATGATGCCCCACTGGAGTCATAAATATGATTTTTGCTTGTCAGAATCCATCAACAACTCGAACTGAAGTCTTGCCCTTTGACCTGGCTGTTGGGTTGACCTTAAGGGCGATGGTTGCAGGAGATTTCTTACAGTTGTAAGGGAATGTTGTGATATATGTGAAACAGTCATCTGACTGTAAATATATGTTTTGGCGGTGAATGGGTAGACATGTGATGAGCCAAAGGACCAGTGGTCTGTAGTGAAAGATGAAATTGTTCACCGGGACGTAATGAGGAACAGTTTGCTGGTTTGTGCAGTATGTGGGAGTAAATGTCACTTTAAGCGGCTAAAACCTATCCAGACGCCACCATTTCCAACATACATGCCATGGTAACAGATAACATTAAAACATGCCTGTATGGGAACGCTTCAGTTGATGTCATGGCAAATGATGGCAAACATTGGAACATGTCATCTATTTCCCAGCATGTCAATTGTACAGTTGTACGCATCAATGTAATGGCCATACTTTTATATAGGTTTTATGACGTATTTTCAGCAATACAGTGTATTTTGAGCTGCCCAACACTGACCGTGTGCTCATCGTGTCCCTCCGATGGAGCTACTCAACATTGATCCTCAACACGAAGCAAGGAGGAATTTTTGGGCAGGAGGAGGTTCTACAAAACGTCGGTGTGGGCAACATCAAGAACTATGAGCTTGAAATCCAATTGACTAACACGTCCTTTAAGGTATGAACACGTGAAGATCTGGGTTAGACTATTGATCTTCAATAACCCATGCTTGTCGTAAGAGGCGACTAATGGGATCGGGTGGTCAGGCTTGCTGACTGGGTTGACACATGTCATCGGTTCCAAATTGCGTAGATCAATGCTCATGCTGTTGATCACTTGACTGTCTGGTCCAGACTCGATTATTTACAAACCCACTCCATAAAGCTTGAATATTGCTGAGTGCGGCGTAAAACTAAAATCACTCACTGACCTTTAAGGTATGTAGCTTACTGGTGAATTTTACATTATAACTATTTCGCGTTATGTAATTATAAAAACATAAGGCCGGGTCTTACGTATTAATGCATGCAATGACTGTGCTCTTGAAAATTGACAATCCTTCTATACATGTTTTCAAGTGATCGTATGTGAAAGTATCATTGAAGTGATGCACGTGAAAGTCATGTTTCCATCAGTGAATGGCCATACGGAATTATTTTATATTATGTTAAACCACCAATTACTCTGGCACCGTTCGCGGTCAAGACTGTGCCGCTCTCGCTGCTCCGAAATGATATTATGGCACAGCACTAGGTTTCTTTTAATGAACCATAATAGACATTTGTAGTACACCAACACGGCACACTGTTTCGATTTCTCAGGAAATCAATATTGTCCTTGGTGCAATTCTGACTATATCATGAACATGTGTTTAATCGGATAATATAGAGATAATATCAGGTGCAGGTTAAACAATACGGGCATCCTCACCTACTGTTGTCATGTATCACAAATACACGCAAGTCCAGGTCAATTGTCAAATCCCAATAGGGAAGGGCATTGATACAAGGGATGAAGTGCAGTCAGTGCATAACCCTAGATACCTGTACATTTCGGAAGGTGAAACATACACAAGCATTATCATTGTACCAAAACATTAGTGAATACTGATGTGATGTGGCATTGTCTTAGCCGTTCCAGGGATCAGTGGCGGGACCATCTGCATTGATGTTTGTCAAAAGTACCATAATACATCATTTAGACATAATAAAATCACTTTGATCTAAGTATTGATGAAAGTGGCCTCCCTACACAGAGTAGATCAATTCTGTTATGCTATGTTCTTAAACGGTCACCATGACATCCTAACATTTTCGAGATGCGAAGTCTAAGCATCACTACTCTACAACAGAATGTGCTCGTCAAGCTTTCATTTCAGTCACACAGTGCAACGCTCATGGTACTGATCACTATATTGACTGGTCCAGACTCGATTATGTCGTGCCTGCCGCCCTGTAGCTGAGGTATAATAATCAAGCCAACCAAACCAAATCCTCCTCAGTGTATTCCCACACTTGTTTTAAATAATAGATGACGGGCAGATCATTTAACAATGTTAATGATGTAGTATTAGTCTTGAGATAGCGAAACATGCAGGTTCAAGAAGATAGAAGTGCATTTATAAATACTATGCAGTCATCAGCTAAGTCATAATCTCACGTAATATTCTACAGTTGGAGGACCAGTCAGATTACGGGACTAAAAACAGTTCATATAACAATCCGCGGTCAGACTTCGGCTACTACCACTCATAACGAAAGACTATCCTTATATGTTCCAGATACTGTGTATAATCAGTGTCTAGGGAAAATGCCCATGACACATCTAGAATCTTACAATGGTATCTGCTTTTGGAGGATTTCCTGCTTTCAGTTCACATTATTTAATATATCTGACTATATAACCCAGGGAGGTGTACTTCCAGCCTTATCTTAAGTCAGAATCCAACACCAGAGTATGTCAACATCTAGAATATAGAACTAAGAGTTGATCTTTGTCAAGACATAATAATGACTTACTTATGCAGACATTTCGTTATCAAGTATTTACCAAGTAGTAATGACGATGTCGATGTGGACTTTATAGTATCAGCACAATGTTGTTCCAGATTTTCTTCGATGGGACGTTCCGGATGGAGTTCCAGATGCGGCTCCCTCTCACCGGCGTCCGACGTATCTCACTGTTGGGATTCACAGCCATCCACAGTGTTCAACTCTTCTGTTAGAGAAGTGTGATTTTGTGCTGCTTGTGTTCCCTGACGTCAGCATTTCAACGTATAAATAAAACAAAAAGAAAAAGAAAGAGGAAGAAAACTGGAAGTTGAACTACCTTTTTGAGATTCAGTCCAAACCCGTTTTGTCTGTGGCAGTATTTTAACAACTAACACATCCTTTCTTATGTCAATGTGGAGTTTTGTTTCATGCCACATGCCAGACATTTTCTGGATGGATGCCAGAAATGAGCTTCACACCTTGAATTCATGTGCTGAATCTAACCCGCGTTCAACGTGACGAGCGAACGATTTAACCATTTTAAACGATTGAACTTTTTCCTTTTAATAGAAATGTGTAAATGGCAATATCATGCTGTACAATTCGATTTTAGAATCGATTATAATCGTAGTATATGTGTTCTCATTATGTTTGGCTAATTTGTTCAAAGTCACCAGCATATGAAGGGATGATTTAAATCGAGCTAGGGCCCATACAGGTAGCAATTGTGCTGTAAGTCCCCATCGTCCCCGGCAGGGTGATCTACCATCAGTTGCTGTTGATCTTCAGCCTGTTTTTACATTGTATTTTCTGTACTATTTGTCTAATTTCAAAAGTTACCTGCTAGTTTTATATCTCTAACTGTGATAATCTAATTATTTTATTGTCCTTTGTCGACAGGTTTTATATAATTTAATTGCGTTTATTTCTAATTTATAAATTTTTAAGTCAAAATATGGCTAAAATATTTTCGATGTAACTGTAATCGTAAGTCACTCACTCACTTTAAGTATTTGTTGTTTAGAACTGCGAACTCTGATATCCAGTTGTAAGACGTCGGTCTGTCAATAAATATTTCCTTCTGAACAATCGATAAGTATTCCTATTACAGTCAATTGTTTAAACCCATCAAGAAAGACATTTGCCCTAATGAAACACTTCAGGAAAAAAACACAGCTGAGGCAAAGACAAGTCAATATTGAATAATAACACCCAGTGGCTATTGACAGGAACAATAACTGCTGACAACAAGTACAGTACAGCTACTTCCCGGATTCTTACAAGGAGCAGAAAAATGCTTCGGAAAATAGCAGACACACCGGGGTCCAGTTTAAATATACGCAAGATAGCTTTGCATATTAATCCAACATAAGGCTGTCCTTGGAGCATAAGGGCACCTGCATGCAAACCACAGTACGAATTTGTTGTTTGTTCTTTCACGCTTCACGGTGCAATATCTATAGTACGGCGGTTGGTAAACAAGTCAGTCAATAATTCAGTACAATAAGTCATTGTACAGCACCACTCGATTCCTTAGTCTAGCCCACCAGTGTTATCATGAAACTGCTCCCGACTACCTCAATGAGATGGTGACCAAATATGTTCCATCGAGAACCTTACGATCAGCTGATCAACATGTATTGGTCATCCCAAGACGTAACCTAAAAGCCTTTGGTTTCCGCTCCTTTAAGTATGGAGCTCCGGCACTATGGAACCAGCTGCCACTCGAACTCAGACAAACAGCATCCATTGATTCCTTCAAATGTGCTACACTGGGTAACAAACATATCCTCAAAACATTCAACTATTTTATGTACAAATGTTTCATGTCTTGTAACACCACAATCACCTATAAATGTAGCGCTTTGAGCATGCATGTTTTAATGGAATCCAGCACGGTATAAATGCATATATTATTATTATTATGTTTTAAAAATTAAAGATAGTATGCAGCAGAGAGGGTTCGGGTGATCCTGGCACAGTCAGGCTGGTAAGACTCATCATCAGCTCAGGGACCTTGCCCCCTCTACATGGAGCCCAGACAGCGAATGGGACTTCTCCCAGGAAACGCTGCCTAGACGAACCCCCAAAGAATTTTCCGGAGAATATGAAGGCTCCCCAACACTGCAGCCTTCTGCATTACCCAGAGTGTCAGAAGGGCTGTACTCCCGGTGGATAACCCAGGCACTCTCCTGATCTGCGCCAAGAGATCAGGAGGTACCAAACAAAGGGCACCGGGAACAATGGGGAGCCTGACGACAGTGTACTTGGGATGCAAGCGAGACATTTCAAAGGCGAGGTCCGCATATTTATCATGCTCTTCGTGCATCTTGCCAATCACATTGGTGTCAAAAGGGACAGAAAATTCAATGATATAAATAAATTCATTGGCTTTATCAAAAAGGACAAGATCAGGTTTGTTGGCTGGAATTCTCCTCAGGCTGTATATGGGCCTATTCCACAGAAGTTTGAAAGCACCATTTTCCATGACACCCCGGACATATTCAGGGTCGTACCATGGATTGACCTCGGAGTCAAAGCCACAGGCATGTCGGAGACGGTAGTGAAAGGAACGAGCCATGCCATCATGTCGTTTAAGATATGCTGTTTGTGCCAAGGAAGGGCATCCACTGACAAGGTGTTGGACAGTCTCTGTGAAGTCATTGCAAAGTCGACATTTCTTGTTGATATTTTCTTTAAGAATCACATTTAGGCGATTGCGAGTGGGAAGTGACTGGTCCTGAGCAGCAAAAAGGAAGCCCTCAGTTTCACATTTAAGACCAGCCGACTTCATCCAGGCGAAGGAGTCGGTGGGACCGCTATTCTGTTCAACACACTGCATGTACACAAGATGCAATGTCTTCTCAGAAAGCTTCTCCACAAAAGACCGACTCTGGGCAACCTTGGCACGCTTAAAATAGCTGTTGAATTCCTTGCTTTCATCATGAGTCTTCACATGCATCACTAGAGGATCATCCGATAAATAGATATGTGCAAAAGTACACAATAAAATTCTGTCATGCAGAGCCTCCACATTAATCAAACCCAGACCTCCAGAATTGATTGGCATGTATAAACGGTTAAGAGAGGAACGAGAGGGCTCTGTTATCAGACACGATCCTTCTGGTCAGACGGTCAAGACTCTGGATGTCTTGTTTTGTCCAATCAACTACTCCAAAGGAATAGGAAAGGGCTGGCACAGCAAAAGTATTGTTGGCTTTGACCTTGTTTCGAGCATTTAGCTCTGAGCTCCAGATTTTCTTTAAACGAGATTTATACTCGGCCCGAAGTTTTTCTTGAATCTGGGCATTCTGGAGCTTCTCTCGAACTTGCATTCCAAGATAGGTGTAGGCCTGATCTTCCACAAGATTCTCAAGAACTCCTCCCTCTTGACCGATCCATCATTAGTTAGCTTGTCACGTTTCAAATGAAGTGTATTACATTTGTCGAGTCCAAATGTCATGCCAATATCATTAGAAAAGGATTCGACAAGGAGAACCTGTTCTTTCAAATTGGAATCTCCTTTGGCAAGGAGTTCGATGTCATCCATGTAAAGGAGGTGAGTAAGAGGTGTTGGGTATCTGTGCTGAGGAGGTCCGGGATGGTAACCCTCCTCTTTATTGAGCAGAAAGCTCAAAGGATTTAGAGACAAACAAAAAAGCAAAGGACTAAAGGAATTCCCCTGAAATATTCCCCTTCTGATTGGAATAGATTCCAAAGTCTGCACCTGCCCTTGCGAGTACATCTCAAGCTGAGACAACCAGCAATTCATTAAAGACTTGAGTAAATCAAGTAGTCGCTCAGGGAGGTCAATACAATGAAGAGACTTTAGAATCCATTCGTGAGGAACAGAGTCGTATGCTTTTTTTGTAGTCAATCCAGCACATGGAGAGGTTGCGGTGATATGCTTTAGCCTCTTCCAAAATCATTTTCTGTACAAGAAGTTGATCCTTGCACCCCCAACATCCCTTTCTTGCTCCCTTCTGCTCAATGTACATTATATCATTGGAAGAGCAGTAAGATGACACGAGACGTGTTAAACACCCTGTGAAGATGTTATACTGAGTATTCAAACATGTGATAGGACGGACGTTTTTGGGATCAGTCAAGTCTCCTTTTTTGGGAAGGCCACGTTGGCATTTCTGGAAACACGATGGTTGATATTGCTGCTAAGGCAGCCCTCAACAAATCTGTGACACCACTTCTTATCCCATACTCTGATTATAAAGCCAGCATTAGAACCTACATCCGTGATCTAATGCAAATGAAATGGGACACCCAAGTAGGTATTAATAAATTACATGCTATAAAACCCTACATTGGTTACACCTACTTGGGTTGTCAGTCCAGATTTGAAGAGGTGATTATGCGACGATGTCGCATTGGCCATACCAGATATACTCATGAATATTTATTGAAAGGCGAAGATCCTCCGTTTTTTATCCCCTGTGATGAAAGGATCACAGTCAAGCATGTCTTGCTTTCTGTTCATGCAAAAGTTCCTGACGGGCACCAGTTGTGGGTTGAACTGGCTCACGGGGCAAGAGATTTTTAAGCCGCCGGAATTGATCTCGGAGATTTTGCTCCGTCAGGTAAGCATACATGGGCATGGCATTGTCCCAATGCAGCTTAAGCGACTTGCCATTGATGCGTGGATTATTATTATTATTATGTTTTACAGATTAAAGATTGTATGCAGCAGAGAGGGTTCGGGTGATCCTGGCACAGTCAAGCTGGTTGCAGAACTATGGAGGAACATCACCTGTGTCCACAAGAGAATTGAAACAGTGAAGTAATGGTGTTTGGACACAGGGGAACAGTTTCCAATACCGGTTTCGAATGCCATCAGGCCCTGGAGGTGTATTTGATTTGGACTTTTTTATAACACTTTTCAGGCAATCTGGTGAGATGTAACAGACAAACGACCTAGTTACTTTCTCATGCATTGCATGGTCATAATCACGGACCCATGGTGCCTCCAGGTTACAGTTGCCGGGTAAAGACCACAACTGTTTCCAGAACCTTTCATTGGCATCCATGGGAGGCCGTTTGTTATGCTCACCATCACCCTTTGTTTTCAGTTGCCTGTAGAAGTGCTTTTCATTGTTTCTAAAAGGTTTATTTTGTTTGATGAATTTATTTTTCTTTTCCCATTTTTTTCTTTCTTTCAGTCCAAACCTTTATTTCGGCCTTAAAGGAATCGACAATTTGGAGGAGTATCTTTTCTTTCGTTGTTTTGTATTTCATTTTCAAATATTATTATTATTATTATTCCAACTTGATTTTCCATAGGCAGTGTTTTCGCTTTGACCTCCTTTTCCTTTTGTTGATGTTCGTTAAAGAAATAGATGAACTAATGACAAGACAATATGCAACAACACCTAAGGCAAACACAATACACATCTATTGAGAAGGACGTCTTTAATGACAAACATGAGATCCTTCCTTACGAAATTCACCGGAACCTACTATTTCAAACGAGAAGCATAAATATTATTTCGGACAATATGTCCTATTTCCAAGTGCTTTCTTAAAACACCATCATACTGTTGTTGACCTCCATATAAGACTGTTCATATCAAGTGGGTACATGGATCCACCAGATGTGAGTGTGTCTGAGGTATGTGACTTTCTGGTTAAAAGCGAAGTAGATCTGACTGTCATGTACACCAGGATGTCACTGCTCAGTGTCTACGTACTGTTCTTTGTCATTCATGTTTCCAGTGGTTTAAGTCAGCTGGTGAACAACACGAACACCTGCCCCAAGGTGTCAAACCACAGAAGGTCTGAGATGGATGATCTGGTGTCTACTTGAGGTCTTGTAGAGGAGATGAACCAGGTGGACATGGGTGCTGAGTGTTTCTCTCTGTGTCAGTCACAGATGCTTTCTGACCTGGTCTTGTACAAC